GTGAACTGCTTTATAAAGACTTATCAATTGCCGGAAATACATTTATCAAAAACCTCATGAAATTTTGCATGAAATCTAAAACAGCATTAAAAGCACGATAGACGAAATAACTACCCTGGCCAAATAAAAAATAATAATATTTGTAATTTTGTCTTTTGAAGAAAGTGCACCTAATGTTTCAAGGGTGTTGATAGATGACAGAGCGGTGAGTTATCAGAGACTCGGTAGTAGCAGAAGCAGAAAATTGAGGTGTATAAATGGAGAAGATTATTGTTTATGTACTTACCATCAACATTATACCCACCATTTCTCTGATTTCCCAATCGAAATGTCGAATGTGAAGATCTCTAGGTGCCGCTGGCTAACGTGAAAGGCTTTAAAAATATATTTTACTTGACAGATGTTTTCGTTTGTATTTTCGCTTTTCTGTTATTCGGTTATTCATGGAAAAGGAAACATATTACAACACTGGAAGTGCATGGTTTTTTTTTACAATTTAAGTCCTGCGTTCTTCTTCGGTTCTTGCTGTATAAATTATTCGGAAAGTAAGGTCCAATTTCTTATAAAAAGTAAGCCACCACAGATAATTTCAGAATCTTTTTAAATTCAATTCCTTACATGTTTCTCTATTTTCTACAAAGTTTCCACATTTGTTAAACATTTGTATAAATACTTATATTTTGGATACTTTATATTTTTATATTTTATTTTATCGCATATAAATGATAAAAAATTGTTTCAATTTTCTAAATGTTTGAAAAAAATGAAAACTCTTCTGTTACATCGAAAAAGACAGTAATATCGTTCCTTTACTAAAGCGAACTTTCGTAGAAGTAGGAGATCAACGATACGTTGTAGTGATATTTAAAAAGCACAAATTACGGTGCTAATAATTTACTGCATCGGCTTTATATAGAGGACCGTTGTGAACAAAATATCTGTAAATTTGCTAAATTCAAATATTATTAATGCTAAGCAGACTGTATCGAACTCGTATAATAAGCAGTGAACTCAAGAGATGCTTTTCATCAGATAACTTCTTAAGGGTGCTTCAGCATCTGATTTTATGTGTCATTTGGCTTATTATAACATAAGATTTGATTTCAGATTTTGCTTTCTCTTAAATTTGTTTCTATTCTTTCTGCCATTTAAAAGCTTCATGTAGAAATAAAATATAAGAAAGTACACTATAATATAATACGCAGGTAAAGAAACATTTAGCATATAATCAAATAAGATTCAAAATCGAAGGAACCATATCAGTTACTTAAAGGTTTCCTTCTATTTAAAAAAAAATAGAGATATTTCTGGGCATTTTTAGTCATGGCAATATTTCACACCGTTAGGTGAGTATAATTTAAAAAAAAAGAAAATTAAATGTATATCTGTAAGAGTAAGGAAAATTTCGTAAATATCCATTAAAGAAAGAACTTTGTAATCCTTATGAATACAGAAGAAAATGGTAGAAATTGGTTTGAAGAAAAAAGTTATTTTGGAAAGAAGTTTGATTAGGTCAGAAATAGAAAAATAAACCCGAAAAGGTTCGTGTAATGCTATTAAAAAAGTTAAATTTTATTTTGTCTGTTCTTTAATAAAAATTAACGTTTCACTTACGGCTCGAATTAGAAAATGACTCAGAAAACCCTGCAAATGTGAAACTACACAAATAAAAATAATAGTACTCATAGTATTGGAAAGAGGGTCAGTTTGAACACCTAGCAAGCACCGGACCACATATTAGTACTCATATCATATCGTATGTTACACCATTGTTTCAATGCAATGATGGAATAATGTGAAACGGAATCATTACATTGATATTAAAGAATACCTGCCACATTAAGAACAGAAATAAGATATTTTCTGTTTTTTCCTTTAGTAGCAAACATGTAAATAGAGAAACATGTAATGAATTAAATTTAATAGAGAAATATGTATATAAGAAAATAAAGAAACATATGAGGAATTAAATTAAAAATGTTTCTGAAAAATATTTGTGGTGGCTTACTTTTTATAAGAAATCGGACCTTACTTTCCGAATAACTTATACAATAAAATCCAAAGAAGAAGGCATGACTTAAATTATAAAAAAAAAAAAAAAAAAAAAAAAAAACACGCACTAGTATGGTTGTTATTATATACATTGTTACAATTTACAAAAACGTCTGATATAGATACCCCATGACTTCCTTGTACGACTATTTAATTATACGTATTATTTGCTGCATTTCATTTAAATTTCCTAAATTTCCTTTATCGAATTTCTTTAAAGACAATATAAATACAAAAATACATAAACCTCAAACACTTCTTCATAAAAAAAACACCTATAACACTGAGTACATTTGAAAATAGTTAAAAATTAATTTTTTCAATTAAAATTAGAGTTTCTTCGGCAAAACAAGTAAATCGTCCAATGGGTAGAAAAAAAAACTTCGGTGCAACAAACTTTAGTTAACTTGGCCCCACTGGGAACACAGATACTCAAGATTGTGCGCAATTGGCTTAACTCACCACAATAAGAGATTCATATGTAAACAAAAGCTACCTCGTTAGGCTTACCTCCACTTACACGAATAAATTATTGATAATTCTACAAACATTGCATGTAGATTAACTAAAGGCATAAAAAACGTAACTTGAATATAAGAACAACATAATTTAATCACCTTTAAAACCAAAAATGCAGGGATAAAAAACAGAGCTAACAGACCCGGCTAAGGTTGGGTATGTAGTATACATACACACACACACACACACACACATATATATATAATAAAAAAGCGTCTCTGCTCTAGCTTCAATCGTCTATCATCTAAATCGTTAATTCTTCTAATTTGCTTGGCGCCTTCGGAGCTCGTAGTAGTAGAGAGAATGACGTCACATCATCTGGATTTCTTCATGGCTCCAAGCGATCGGCACTATATGTATATAGGTAGATAGATAGGCTGACAGAGAGATTGATAGATAGATATGTAAATTTTATATGGATGACTGCAATAAAAAAGAGAAGTGCTTAAGTCCCAAATAAAAAATTTCAACTTTCTATGGCTAATCTTTTATGAGTAATGTGAGATATATACATACGTACGTACGTACAAATGAGTAACAACAAAATCCCTTCTGAGCCCATTTTAAATCAGTTTTGGGAAAAAGAGTATTTTATTCTGTCCATACGTACAGATGCTATGCAAAATACTTATTCAACTGGATTCAATAGCAGGTCAAACGGATATTTTCGTTGAAATATGATACTCGAAATTTTTCAAAATTAGAGTACTACATTTAGTTCATATAAGCTGGCACAACTGCGAAAATACAAAACGCTCTTCCGAATTCTCGCAAATGATAATATATGCAAGTTTTGATTTGTGTCATTAACTCATGTTATATTAATATAATTATGTTAGGCGAGTTGGGTTTATAGATTTAACTTTCTTACGCTATCAGAATGCAACATGGTCAACTTTTCTTTCCAATCTAAATTTAATTTTAATAATCATAACTAAAAATATGAATAAAAGTCCTCACAAACGAAGCACTGTGTTAAAACCTACACGTATAATGATAGAACACTAAAGAAAAGCCCTTTTTTGCTCTTTTCGCTTTCGTATAGTTCTATGTACACATTTCACAAGCCAAATTTCAACTATTGAGTTACTAACGTTATTCATCCGCACCCAAATCGCTGGTAGAAAATCCTTCTACTCGCGATTATCACTCAGACTCGAGTTATCTAGTTGACACGAAGTAATTCCAGTTAATCTATAATGTAAAATAAGTCCGGACTTAAGCATTCCCATTCCGTGCAGACAGAAATCAGATGGATGGAATTACTAAGGCTGATAATCAGGCCGAAAGATGTGAATTTGGTAAGGCAAGCAAAATTTGTTGAGCAATATGCTTGTTGGGAGACAGAAAAAATCAACATGTAAGTAAAACAGATAGAAGAAATATGTGCAAATTAATATATAATATGAAATACAACCAGAATAAAATCAATTCAATGTAAAAAGAGAAAAGACAAGGAAACAATAAATTCTTAGCTAACTCTAAAAGAACTTGCATAAATTCATCACTTTCATTTGAATTCTGAGAACTTTGTTTGTGATCATCCGCGAATGATGTAACATCCGAGTGCTGCCATCCATGGTCATTAGTCTTAGCAAATCTCCATGAAATTAATGGTAATCTTCAACGAAATATCTCTATAATATGTGGTTACTATTAAACCGTAACTACAAAGTGGTGGGAAAAGTCCTATTTTGTTTTGATAATAATTCATCTTATAGGCAGATTACTAAATGAATTAATATATATGTAATTATTACTGGTTAGAAATTATATTATCAATTTATTTAATTAAAACAAATCACCTTCATTTTGTTAAATGTACTAGTTGTCATGAAAAAAAAATTGCCATTTTTAAGCTCAAATGTACAGTTAAGCACAAAAAATCACAGTATATCAAAAAAAAAAAAAAAAAGAAAAAAGAAAAAAAAAAGAAAAAAGAAAAGGGAATAAATTTCATAGTAATTCTGACGTTTTATTTACAGCTTTCTGATTTAAAATCGATCTTATTTTATCGAAAAGTATTAATTTTAATTGTTGTTTTAAGTTAAGAAATGTTTTATGAAAGAATTTTACATTTGTTTGAGCCAATAGCTATTTAAAGAAATTAATAATTCGGATTCTAAAATGATTACTGAAGTATCAAGCTACATGATGGAAATAATAAAATACACAGCTCTGCAAAATGCAAAATTACGTTAATTTGAATTTATTATTTATCTCAGGAATTTGTTTCATCATAATTTGTACTTGACTAAAACTTTCATCAAATTAAAATGGAAATTATCCTTTTATCTGCACTAACCTTTATTATTGTCTATATACTCGTACAATGTGATTTAAATTGTTATAAAAATTGCATTTTAGTTTTAGAATTCTATTAAATTTTTTCCCTCTTTCTATATTCTAATAAGAATTTTTTTTAACAGGATGGTGCAATTGAATTTGAAGAATTCATTCGAGCTCTCTCGGTGACGTCACGAGGAAGCCTCGAAGAAAAGCTCGTGTGTGAGTGGCATTTGAACTCTTTAAAATTAGAGGATTTACGTCTCTTTTTATGACTGCTGTCAAAAGAAAAACCTACTGCTATATGCTTCCATTGCATTTTATTAAGTATTTTCCCATTTTATTGCAGGAATTTTATATCATATATTTCAGGGTTTATAAGTAAAATGCTTAAGGTTTTCAGAATAAAAATGATTTTTAATTCATAATGTTCATTTTAAGTTAATAACTAGATCAGCGGTTCTCAACCTTTCGTCTAACGCGTACCATCTAAACAAAAATTTAAAAAAAAATAGTATCACTACATTTTACAATGATTATTTTTCAATTTGTCAAATATTAAAATATATATATATACATATATTGCCATTTGCACAACCTGTTGGCTATCTGTATTAAATACGCACGCATAAAAAATATTCGATTAAAAATTGGTTACCATTTTAATTATGAAAATTTAAGTTATAATAATTTAATTTTAAAATTTAGTGCGGAATTTGGGCCTGTTTAAGAGAGACCAAATGTTTTTTGTCTGGTTTTATTTCACTTAGTTTTAACCGTAAATTAGGATCCACTTTAAACTTTGTTCTGTATTTAATCCTTGTTCGTACAAATAGGTTTTGCAAAAAGGCAATAAAATTTTAACATCTTTATTTGAAATTCCTTTAAATTATTTTTTTCGGTTCAGCCAAAAGTTAACCAGTTTTCTTCACGAGATTTTGGAATTTAATAGTTAAAAATACTTTATTTCCTTGCGTACCACCTATTTTTCTCTTGCGTACCACCAGTTGAGAATCCCTGAACTAGATAGTTATTTCCACTTTTATTACTCCCTACTTCTTCTAACGGTGATGTTTTGAGCATTTTTCTATGTAAACATATTGAAATACCGATTTTCATGTTTCCAATGATTTTGTTTCTTGGACCGAATAGGAAGTTGTACTTTATTTTTGGTGTCCGCCGAAAACATCGCGGCAAAAGCATCGCGGGCGAAAACGTCGTGGAAAAAACAACGCAAGGACAAAACGTCGTGAAACGAAACATCGCAAAGAGAAAATATCGCAGTTCTAAAACATCGTGGTACAAAATACCGTCGTCGAAAATAAAGCGGTTCAAAAACTTCGCAGTTTAAAAACATCGTCCTCAGAAATATCGTGGTAAAAAATAAATTAACCTACAAATCATCGCATGACGATAACATCGAACACATGCATTTTCAGGTTTTGAAAGTTCTAAATGCATGTTCGTATAAATATCATACAGCGCAAAAAGACAAGAGGCATTATTTTACTTCTATATTTGATATATTTGAACAACTAATAAATTTTTCCTGAAAAAATAAGAAGGAAACTTAAGCATTTAATTGAAAATGAGTGGAAAATTAATGCAACTTAAAAAGCTTAATATAATTTTATAATTATATAGTTAATTAACAAAGGAAATTAATAAAGAAGGCTTTTTTTAAATTTAACTGATAATTTTTCATGAAAAATACAGTCTAAAAATGCTTAGGAAAAGGAAGATAAATAACTGCAGGAAGTTACCTGTATAAAAATTGTTTATTTAATGATCAAATTATTTTCTCTCACATTTATTAATTTGATATTGTTTTAATGAAAATTACACATTGTTTTGTTTCCGTCTATTCGTAAAATACCGTTAACATTTTCATGTATAACGTGCAATCAATTGTTTGAATATCGATTTATTAGTTATGACGAAAGTCAGTTACATAATATGTCACTATGCGATTTGAAGAACGCATGTATGCGATGTTATCGTCATGCGATGATTTGTAGGTACTACCACGATATTTTCGACGACGATGTTTTTAAACTGCGAAGGTTTTGAACCGCTTATTTTCGACCACGATATTTTGTACCACGATATTTTAGAAGTGCGATATTTTCTCCCACGATGTTTTTTACCACGACATTTTTCCCTTGCATTGTTTTCTCCGCGAAGTTTTCGTCCGCGATGATTTTGCCGCGATGTTTTCGGCTGTAACCTTTTCTTTCGCATTTATCTTGAAATCTATGGGTAGTACATTCACAATACTTTAGGCACTTTTTTATTTATTTCAAGCGAGGAATTTGGTTGTGCAGAGTTTGGGCGGTCATGATGGGACGCCCTGTGTATTAATAGCACATTTAAGGTGATTTAATAACACAGAATTTGCGCGATTCATTACACGGTTTGCGAATTAAAATATCAATCATGGAACCCTTTTGACAAAGGTTCAAGGTCAGAATAGGGTAGAGGTTCTTAATTATGATCATTAAGCATTATAGAGATAAATACAAATAGCATTATGTGTCGCATTTGTTGCGATTTATGAAGCATTATTATACAAATAAATGTATATTTCAAGCTGACATAATTTTTTATGTTATGTCAAATTATGTTTGCTGATACAAGGCAGATTTGATTCGAAATTAAAACAAATAGCATAATAAAAATATTTCTCGATAACTGCGTCTTGGATCTTTAGACGCTATTGATAATAAAAAGAAATTTAATCGATTAGTTTTATGTGTAGTTCTTCAGTAAAGCACTTGCGATTTTCTTTAAGAGTTTACTTCTAAATTACTCCAAGACTTTCCTTTCTATTATTACCTGCAATTGCTAATCGAACATGTTTTAAAACGTTCTGTGAAGGACCCTGGAGAACCATTAAATCCATTTCGTCTTTTTAATGGATGCAGTGTCGTTTCTAAAAGTCACAAAAGTGCAATGACTTCAGATCTTACCTTACCTATTAACGCAACTTGGGATATGAAAGAATTTTCAATAAAATTTACTCTCGTTGGTAGCTTCTTGTCGAAGAAATGGCAAAAGAGATTTTTAGGTTACTGTCACAAGCTGCAAACTGAATAAACTTCTTTACGCTTTAAGTTTTATATGAAAAAACCGCTTTCTGGTAAAGGCGCGTTTTATCATAATTAATGATAAAACATTTTCAGTAAAGCTATGCAATAACACAAAATTTTAAATTCTAGAATACAACTTAAATGAGAATCTATTTTATTAGGTAATGCATAATTTGAAAATTACTGTTTAAGAATATTGCGTATATATATCATGGCGTACTTTTAATTCGATGCTTAAACGAAAATCATTCAGTCTTATTAATTTAAAGAGATATTACATGTGGCTAAAAATTAACCATTGCAATTTTACAAATTACTACGAAAATATAAATATTAATTTTAATTTAAAGAGTACTTTTACTTTATTTAATCGTTCACTTCGAATGACGTTGGTTATTTATTAGAGGTTTTGTAGAAAAATTTTATATGCAGGAGCCTTTATCCATTCTGGAACTAGGTTTATATGTCCTTAATATTAGCGGTATGATGCTGAATGATTACATTTGCAATCAACATAACAACCTTTTGAAAATATACTTTTCCTTTTATTAGTGCTTTTAGATGTCTTCGAAACTCGCCAGAAGCCTATTCCTTGAAATGGCCTAAACCCGAATAAACAGATTTAAACTATCAACTCTGAAAAGTTCAAAAGCTTTTGAACATCGATGTGTTACAGATATAGATCTGCCTCAACTGCACTTAATTTCCCTTGAAATTCGATGGAACGGGCATAGATCACAGTTACAATTAGAAACATCGTGGACGAAAACTTAGAAAAGTAACAACACAAGGGGGATACGTTGTCATACAAACATCGTGAAAAAAAAAGCAAGAGAAAAATCGCAGTTCTAAAACGTCTAATATAAAAAGTCTTGGTTGAATATAAAGCAGTGCAAAGATTTCAACATTTTAAAACGTCGTTGTTCAAAATATCGTAGTAAAAAATAAGTCAGCTATTAACCATCATATGATGATAATATCGCAAACCAAATCAAATGCCTTTTTTGACTGAAAAAAATTTAAATTGCATGACCATGTAAAGCCAGTAGATGAACAGTACCACATCAGCCGATAAGAATCATTTCATGGAATAGGTGCTCAACACTATCTCAAGAGACACTGCTCTTCAATGCTGAGTCCTTTTTAAATATAACCATCATTATTCATTTCATCATGTGAACTTAAGACCAGATGTTCGGATGGACTGTCCCTGAAAATTGCACGACATGGAATTTTGTAGGTTTCCTGGACTTGACGAATTGAATACTAGACAACGTAAAAGCTGCAAACAAGTAGTTTGGTATGATTAGTCACGTTTCAAATTAATTGGGATAACTGGAAGTATCTGTACAAGAAGAAAATTCCATAAATTAATATAATCCTTAAGTGACAGGAGACCATACAAGTGGGGTGGTTCTGTAATGGTATGAAATTTGTGTAGATGAAATTCCGTTAAGATTCTCGGTACGTATATAAAGGGGAATACTATGTGCGCATGTTTTCTGATGTGTTACATCAGTTCATATACTGTGTCCATTCTGATGAATTTAGCCTCTTACAACAGGACAAGGGAAAGCCACACAAGAGCACCAAATTATGGTTAGATGAACACTCATTTTCATTTGGAGACTTGCAGTGAGCACTTAAATCTCCAGATTTCAACGCCTTGAAAGTTTAATACATCTATGAGTTCATACATCTATGAATCGGGCAAAAGTTTGCACCACTTTGTCAAAAGTAGCATATTTGTGGTCTGCAGAACACTTCCTCATTCTCGATGAATCGATGATGCTGTAGTTCTACACTTCCTTTAGGGGAGTTACGGAGCATTAGGCAAGGGTAACAGTTTTTTAGGCACTTTAGTATAAGGCGTGCCAAGGTGAAGAAAATGCGTAATTTTTCATTATTCATCATCCTTTATTACCCTTATCATGTTGCTTTTGTTTTCGGACTTGCAGTTAAGGAGACCTCTGTTGTTTTTCCTTGGTTTATATCTGTGAGATTTTGGTATTTATTTCAACATTCAAACATTATTTTTAGCAATTATTTCAATTCAAAGACTCTAAATTAAGTTGTTCAAAGGGATTTATAATTGTTGTTGGTTTTTGATATAAAGACAAATAAAAGTTAAAG